GAGCTGCGACGAAAGGCCCGGCTCACCCTTCCAGGCGGTTCCATCGACGAGGCAGAGAGCAACACAGAACCCGACCGAACCGGCCGGAAACCAAGCACCAACTAACCTGCGCAGGTCAAGTAGGCAAGTACGAAGCCCCGCCTACTTACGGGACTACGTTACGTAGGACCATACCAAGAGGGGAGGGGTGTTCTGTACAGTCATTAACATACTCGTAAATGCCGCGTGGTGATTGGACAAGACGCACGGCGAGCTGATTGGCCGAGCGAGCCGCAGTGATTGGCCCGCCGCGAATCTCCCGCGATTGGTGGAAACTAATCGCGGGAGATTCAAAGCGGTGTCATTGGCCGCGGCCGCCGCGGCCAAAGCATAAAAGCCGCCGCTTTTCCCTTTTCGAGCCGAGCCGATCTCGGAGCAAATAAAGAGCTGAAACTAAGTCATGGGCTCCAAGTCTTTCTTCCACAACGGACACGACAATTTCTATCCTCTGTCTTTTTATAGACAGAAGCTGGTGCAACCATTCAGGAAGAAATAAGTATTCAGTTTTATAGCCGTTTGTTATAAAGGTCAATTCTACACAGGGACTTCTTCTGATATTATTGCATGTCAGCAACTACATGATCAAAAAAGCACCTTCTACACTTTATTTTCATCTGTTACTGATTCATTTTTCCTTTATCTTTAATATTTCTTTTTATTTATTTTGCCAAATAAACGAACCACCCTAAGGTCTCAGCAAATGTAGCAAGACAGTAGGTTCAAACTCATTCAGGAGCTTGTAGCTAAAAAGGCAATAACAGTCAGCACTTCAACAGAATATCCCATCTTTTGCAGGCCTCCAACTTTAATAATAAAGTTACTGGACAAATTGCAACTAGAGTACTAGAAGTTAATGGACTGAATACTAAATGTTATTGGATAAATTACAACTGGGATACATTCTTTGACAACCGTTTTGAGAAAAGAGGACAATAGTGACACCGTACTGAAAATTCAGGCCAGAGGATTTGTTTTGGAGACTTATTCAGAGAAGTAAAAGGATAATAGATTTCTAATTGCACTGCCATTCTCACAATTGGATTAAAAAAATATTCTGAAGGGGCTTTGTGAAAATTGCAGCATTTACTTAATTCTGTACAATTGGAACTAAATCTATTTGTTTTTAAACTCAGATAAGGGGTCTATTAAAATCAAGCAACCTCAAACAAATATATGATATATATCCAGTATATTGCAATTGAAGAACTATTTCTAAAGCTTTTCATACAATACTGACAAAATGGTCTGTCTGACATTAATAATGATGCTTATGATGGAACCTTTCCCAAGAGGCTACTTTTAATTCCTTACAATTAAATTCAGAATTTATGCATAGCTGTTTACAACTAAAGAGAGAGAAAATACTGAAATACTGTTCATCCTTCACTCTTTTTATAATTCTTCCTGTATTTTGAAAAGAAACATAATTAGCTTTAAAAGCTTCCGGTACAAATCAAGTTTCATACCGTTTTAGCAATTTAATAGCAATTTTTACCCCACTTTAATGGGTTATGTTTCTTGGGATATAATGATTAAAAATGAATTTGATGCAAAGATTATATAGAGACCAAAGTACCATTGCATTCAAAAGCAAAGTTCCATGGCAATCAAAAGTATACATAAGATGATTCACAATTACAGCATTATAAAAGTTAAAATCTTGATTCTCATGAAGCTATCACATACGGTTCTGGGATAGACAATGCAACAGGCTGAGCATCTTTGAGATTGCTAAAGATATAGATTCTGCCCATCAAATTTAAGAGCACAGAAGATGTGTTTGTTTATTTGCTTATTTATTTATTGGACATATATGGCCACCTATCTCCATATGAGACTCTAGGCTGCTAACAACAAAAATGCCTTCTAATCACCTGTAGGTATTGAAAGATGGTGACAGGAGGAACCCCCAGAGTAAAGAGTCTCTGTGAGAGCTCCCTTCTTCTGGAACAGCTTGTCTCTCAAGCAAGGGAGTAGGTCCAACTTTCCAGGCCTTCCAGAAGCTCATTAAAAATCTGGCAGGAATGTTATCTTTAGTTTTCCAAGGATTAATTATAATTTAACTGTCAAAGTAAACCATATTTGTTGTATTGTACAATATTACCAAAGAAGTAGTGCAAGATTGGAAAATAATTGTGGACACACAGAGCCTATAGAATTGCCAAAGTCAGGGACGATTGAACATCATCATCACAGTACTGTTCATTTTTACTGCTGCATTGGCTGCAGCTGTTAATTTTTTTTTATATGTTTAAAGTTGGTTGACTGAAATGGTTTATAAATGTATAGATAATTCTCTATGGTGAAATCCAAACCTCGCAACAATCATGAGGCAGCATTTTCTTCCAAGGTTACGTGGAAAACCCATTATAAAGATAATTTCAAGAAACATGGCATAAGTTACCAAAATGGATCTATTATGGCATAAGTTCACATGGTACATAATTCACATAGTTAACCAGAATATATTTTGGTCCAGACATTGCAAAAAGTATTTGGGAAGCACTGAATAGAAGCTGCTCACATATATCTATATACAATGTGTGTGTGTGTGTGTGTGTGTGTGTGTGTGTGTGTGTGTGTGTGATATTATATATGTGTGTGTGTATCCTATAAATAAATATTCTACATTTACAATATCGCAAGTATATTTGGAGACATTGGGCAAGAGATAGTGATTACATATACAATATATTTTAAGAATATTGCACATGAAAGTAATTTTCATTTTTTTTTTGAAAAAAATTACCATTATGCTAAATTGGGCAGACTGATGACAAAATAAAAATAAAACTGAAACAGAGTAGGTACACCTCCTGCCTCTCCTTCAGCCTCCCTCAATTCTCCCAAATTTGTTCTAGAATATTAAGAGGGATGCAATTATGATAATGCACAGTATATAAAAAGTTGAAAATTTTCTGTTGCTTCTTGTTATATTTCTTAGTGGCGAGTTTCTCTTACGATACATAGCTTTTCAGTAATTAATATTTCTCCCCTTATTTTTGTATGTGTGTGCATGTATATGTGTTATTTAGAAAACAGGGCATGTATTGATCTATTGTCTTCTTCTTTAAAATAGTGCTCAGAGTGGACAGCAGTGTCTAAGTTTGCCTTTTGACTGACTAGGAACAATTCTGTCCAACATAGATCCTAGATATACCCATTGGGCAGGGGGAGAGGTCTACTTCCAATTCTCAAGGTCACACTGTCAAAATTGGTAGGTCATCTGAATAGCCTGCTTAGTCACTAAAATTGTCAGAATTTTATATTTCTTCTCTGATGCTTTCTGAACCTGTCTCTTTCTCAAGCATCAGGTCTAAGACAAAATACGAACATCCAAGAGCATATTTGCAATATATTCATGCCATGACAAAGCTATATGACACAATGAAAAAAGTGGATGCTCCACACCCTAACCCTAACTCTTAAAAATAGAGTAACCTCCAAATCCTGGCCAAGGATATTCATTTTCCCCCATCCTCATTTCAGAGGGCAACTGCTACTACAGACAGGGCATGTTTTCAGGGTTCCAATAAATGGCATTGCTGCCAAATAAAATTGGTTTGGCAGTTACTATGGGAGAAAGTAAATACCTCAAGTAACCAGGCCCTGTGTCATGGGTCTTTCTAGGTAACAAGCAGTACCTTGAATCCAAGATACCAATATCAACTGGAATTTGTTAAAATATATCTTTTAATTTCAAAAACGGGAAACTACCAGATTAAGTAACATGTCAGTTATTTCCAAGAATGTCTAATTTCTAAATGGGCAGTTACAGCCTAGTCTTAGAGGAGAAAAAACAAATCATGTTATATGGGCATAGTAAGGAATGTCCTATGGTAAGAGTTGCCTATTTGCTTAAAATTCTCATAGTATGAGCTAATTGACAAGTGGCCTGGCTTAGTTTAGGTTATGGTAAACTTGAACATCACAAGCTTTTGCTGATGAAACTGCATGCCTATATACAGTATAGGCAAGAAAAACTAAACTCACAGGTATAGACTAGGTGGTACCTGGCTCAAATGTAGCACCTGTGACAGGGAACTAGGTGTCCTAATAGACTGTCACTTAGGTATGAATCTGAAGTTTGCTGCAGCTGCCAAAAAAAACCCTAATGCAGTCTTAGGTTGCATCAATACAGGGATAATGTCAACATCACCTGAAGTGATAGTACTGCTTTATGCTGCATTGGTGAGACCACATTGGGAACACTACACCCAGTTCTGGTCACCAGAAAAAAAAAGATTTTGATGTTGGTTCATGTATACCAACTAAAATATGTCTGTATATGTTGGTTATGCAGGTACTTCTTGACTTACAAAAGTTCATTTAGTGACATTCAAAGTTACAGCAGTACTGAAAAAGTGACATCGCCATTTTTCGCAGTTACAACCTTTTCAGCATCCCTATGGTCATGTGATCAAAATTCAGACCCTTGACAACTGATTCATATTTAGGACAGTTGCAGTGTCCTGGGATCATGTGATCACCTTTTGAGACCTTCTGACAAACAAAGACAATGCGGAAGCCAGATCCATTTAACAACCAGGTTACTAACTTAACAACTGCAGTGATTTACTTAAGAACTGTGGCAAGAAAGGTTGTAAAATGGGGCAAAATCCACTTAACAAATATGTCTCACTTAACAACTTAAGAAATTTTGGGCTCAATTGTAGTCGTAAGTCGAGAACTACCTGTGCAGAATACCAGTCCAGGGAATCAGTTTAGATGTGCTATGCCAGCCACAGCCTAGTCAGTTGGGAGCTTACAAATTGCTATAAACAAATAAAGAAATATGAAAGGGGCAAAGATAAATTTTAAATAATACAGCATTTTGATCTACAAGCTTTCCTTAAATAAAGTACTCGTGAAAGATGCATTAGGTATGAAGAACTGTCTATTTGTTATGAGAAATATTGCACCAGAAAACATTTTATAAATATCTGTTAATTCCGCCTTACCCAATGGGAGCTTTAGAAATGATGGTGCTTCCCTGAGGTATTGAACGGTGATGGCAACTTCATCGCCAGCATTTCGCAGTAGTTGCACCTGTCAGTGTGATAAATAACAGCTACTTTATACCAAAGAACCAGCCGCAGAGAGCAAAACAATCTACATCAAAAAGCTGCATCTAGATGTGTCAGAAATTCAATATTCAACTTTATTACTGGAACGAAGATTATCTTGAGGATCAAACCACAACAATTATAAAACTTAACTATATCTACTACCAAGAAAGAGATGAAAAATTAACAATGTGAAAAACATTCTTAGTTCCTGCACAGCAAAAAAAACCAAATGCAATGCTTCAAAACCATTTCTTATGTAACAGAAGACAATCTAGCTAAAGGAAAATGCTTTAATTTCAGTGTGGGATTGAACTAATCTAGATGTATGCTTATATTTTTAAAATCCCAAATTTATGAGATTTAAAAATTCTCCACTATGGTTAGATTATTAAATTCTGGCAGAATCTACAGTATGCTTCTGGCTGCATGCAAAGAATATAAGAATGCTGAGTTACAGTTTCCTATGCTATTTCCTATTCCTAGAAATTTAACATTTGGGAACAAATAATATTAATATATATTAAATATTAATGGTTTGCCAATCATTTCAATAGTAACCTGACAGACACATTTGCAGTGAGGTAAAATCAAACCCAGTTTGATTTCACATTAAATTATAGAGAAGTAAAAATAGTAAATACCCAAGTAGAAGATTCTTAAGAAGCTACTTTATACCAAGTGTGTGTGCATGTGTGCGTGTATGTGTGTGTATGTGCGTGTATGTGTGTGTATGTTCCCCCTCCCATCTATACTTAATCCTTTATTTAAAAATAAAATTTCACTTTGAATTACTGGTTAGTAGCAAAAACAATGAGCACTTATGATGATATTTATAATATGACTAGTAGTCCCATTCAATTGGCAGCAAGTGCTAGCCAAGTATCCTCACTTAATCACACAGAGTATGCTACTGCAAAATGTATTGTATCCTTACAGAAGGAACTTCTTTTTTTATTAGTGAAAAGTCCCAGTTAACATATCAGACCAAACTTGATAACCTATCTTATTACTGCTCAACCAACTGTTAAAAGCAATGATCAGATTTCAGATTTGCCTTTAAAATATGGGTAATCCAGGCATATTCATGTCTATAACTCTGTCTCTTAAGTATTTCAACTGACTATGTGTTACACTTCTTAAAAGAACATCCAGATTTAGATCCAGGATAGTTACCTTGAAGTTCTTAAAATCTTTTCTGACTATAATTGCCTGAATCCCTACATATATATTGAAATATTAGCTTCTTTTTGGAAGTTGCCTAGTATCTGGTATGATTGTTGTCCTGCAAAATGTTGTCATTTAATTAAAAAAAAACCAAGCATAAATGGGGCTTCTGGATAAAGACATTTGATGTATTTCCTAATATAAGGGCTCTTTTTCTCAAGACAGAGAGTACAAAACACACATTAAGCTAGGCAATGATGGCAACCTGTGTTACTGGAAATGAAAATGTCAGTGTAATATAAACTATGAGACAGTACAATTATGGGGAATGGCCCCAGGTAGACCATCTGTAAGATCTATATTTCTACAAAAAGAAAGAGGGATTCATAAAAAATGCAAACCCACAAAAAGAGTTAAAATGAAATAAAACTGGCATTTGAATACATGTATATGGACAAAGACCATCTGGGAAAACTATCATTATATCATCAAATAAACTAGTGTGGAAAAACTGGTAATTCAATAGAATCCCGGTGCATTGATTTATCCCTTTATAGCAAGATAGGATAGGATAGGATAGAACAGAATATAATTATTTATTGGCCAAGTGTGACCAGACACACAAGAAATTTGTCCCTGGTACATAAGCTCACAGTGTACATATAAACAGCAAATAATAGGTCATAGGTCATAATCATAGTTTCAATCATTAATCATAATTACAAACAACAATGGATAAATCATAAGAAATCAATAGAAGATAGTAGAAAAGATGAGATGAGAAATGAGACAGTGCTGTGGGAATTAAGTGTTCATTAGAGTGATGGCATGTGGGGGGGAAATATCTTTATGTCTGGTTGTTTTGGCATACAATGCTCTATAGCGGCATCCTGAGAGGAGAAGTTGAAACAGATTATGTCCAGGATGTGAGAATTCTGTAGATATTTTTTCAGCCTTCTTTCTGGTTCTTAAAGTATACAGATTTTCAATGGAGGCAGGCTGGTTGCAGCTGTTTTTTCTGCTGTCCTAACTATCTATTGAAGTATGTATCTGTCATGTTTGGTTGCTGTGGCAAACCAGAAAGTTATTGTGATACAAATGACAGACTCAATAATTTCTCTGTAGAACTGTATCAGCAGATCCTTGGGCAATCGGAGGTTTCTGAGTTGAGGCAGGAAGAAAATTATTTGTTGTGTCTTTTTAATGATGGTTCTAATGTTATGTGTCCATTTCAAGTCCTTGGAGATAATAGAAGTTCTGAAGGTCTCTACTATTAATCCTGTGTTACCTAATATTGTAAGAGGTTGTAGAATAGGAGAGCTTCCTCTAAAATCTATTTTCATCTCTACAGTTTTAAGAATGTTCAGCTCCAGATTGTTCCAGCTGTACCACAGGGCCAGTTGAACTACCTCTTGTCTATATGCAGACTCATTGTCTTGAATGACACCAATGATGACTGTTGTATCATCTGCAAACTTCACTACTTTAACAGAGGGATCCTTTGAAATGCAGCCTTTAGTACTGTATATATAGAGAAGAGTAATGGAGACAGCACATAGTTCTGTGCTAATTGAATGGGTGTTCAATGTGATTTTCCCTCGCTTCATCTGCTATTTCCTAATCATTAGAAAGCTTATGATCCATATACAAATGTGGTCAGGTACAGCTAGCTGAATCAGTTTAGAGATGAGAATTTCAGGAATGATGGTGTTGTATGCTGAACTAATAATGTAATATTTTTTATTATATTGATTGAAAATTAAGTATCACCATGACTCTTTTCTGAATATTGCTATCTACAGTATATTGCTTCTTCAATTTGACTAGTTGATGGTCGAGTTGTTCATGTTAATTTCAACCCCACAAAGCCAGGAAATCAGTAGCTAAGAACAGCATCTCAGTAATAATGTTATGAAATGTAACATCTGCAAAGCACAATTTCCCACCCCCTGCCTATGGCAACTTGGGAGCAGGTCATGGAAATTTCATGAGTTGACAACATAAAGGACTCAAACTTTACTACACAATATGAAGATCCTCATTACTTTTACCCATCTTATTCAAATGCAGGTTTTGACAAACAAAAAAATGTGTTGCATAGTGTAAGTGCACACGGTTTAGGATGTTGTTTGAGATCATGTGAATTTTTTATTTCTATTGGCAGGTCTTCATTTTGGACAAAGAGGAAGTTTGAGGGAAAGTTATACTTGAAAAAGAACCGTGTTGTTACTGTATTTGTAATTTGGCCTTCTACTCAATATTTGCTTTCTACAAGTCAACCTATGAGATAAATTTAATTAAAATAGGTTTGTTTATTTCTTTGTGGAAAAGTCTTCTGTTTTTATGAACCACCTTTGACTTCAAAATTATATTTTTTTCAACAATTTCATTAAATATTATATTATATAAATGAAATTACAAAAGATACATTAAAGAAAAATTGAAAAAAAAACCATTTTATTTAAAATAATAAAAAAGTGCAGAAAAACTGAGAAAAAGATAAAACAATGAAAATAGAAAAATAGTAAAAGGAAACCTGCCCTTCATCCCCAGCAAGTATAGTTAAGATTAAAAACTTATCACTACATCCTAAAATAAATGCATTACACTACTTAGGCACTTCTGAGCTACAAACCTTTGCCCATATGAACCAACCTGCCTGCAAACTCAACTTAGAAGGTGCCAGAGGTTGGTAAAAGGTGAGTTGTTTGGACTTGCAAATAAAACACATTTACAAACAGCAACTCAGAATAAATTTGTTCCTAAGTAGAACACTGTCTATAAAATCAAACAACTGTTCATTCCTTACTTTCCCCCGGTTTCTATGAACCCATCTTTAAAACCTCACCTCTTCCAAATAAACAGTAAAAGGTAGGGGTTATCAAAAATGACAATATAAGTATGACAAATTGTATCTTACACCCAATCTAAATCCAACCTTTATCTCCCCCCCCTTTCCTCTCTTTAAATAATACAAATTCAATTCCACTAAAAAAAAAAAAAAAGCATTAATAGAAACAGCCATTTTCATCGAATACCAATCCCAATCCCGCCAAGATAACAATTCATAACAACCTTGGTCAAATAAATTAATTTTTTTTCTAATTTCTGCATACAGTCTATTACCATGTATTTCTATCATAGCTAATTCCCTTTGCAACATAGATATTCTGAGAATACTGACAATATTCCAGCTTCAGAGTGAAATTGACTTAGCCTTTCATAATTTGATAAATTGCCAAAAATTTTAGTGGATCGTTAAACTGTAATGGCTATTTCATTGAACTTGACGGGTTAAAGAAATATTGTTTTCTTTGCAAATCTGAATAATTAGATAGCAGTATAGAAATATGTGAAGTGCTTGTCTAAAAATGGAACAGAGAAAAAGTAAATATATCTATTTTCAGCATTTTTAAACTTGCTGTATGTGAAGCAAATTGTACTAGATTAGTTTATAAATTGACATAAAGGATGCCAAGTTATAAGCTCAAGGGATATGTTTCTTCTAAGAAAGATGACTTTGAGGCTGCTGGGAATTTGTTATTTGTGATAAGGAGTTGTCTTAACTAAAGGAATATTAGTATGCCTGAACATTCTTTTACCTGTGAGGAGAGGAATTTGCTACTGATTTGTTGAATCATTTTGATATCTGTTTTGGTCAATTCTTTATTTGCAAAAAGTACAAAAATTTACAAAAAGTATTTTATTTTTCCATGATTCACTTGGACACGTCTTTTGTATTCTGTGCAAGAAAAAGATTAAATAATTGTACATTCTTCTGGTATTTTCCAAGGAAAAGGTCATTGATTTAATTGG